AAATGATTCGGGGGGGGGGCGGCGGCAAGGAGAGCTGCAAATCTGGGAGATAATAGCATCGTCCTCGAAAAAGCAACATGTCTATTTATCGTGGTTGCACGTTGACAACCTCCCCTCAGATTCGCAGTCCCCAGCCTGCCCGCGCAGGGGGAGAAGCGTGGGGGTGCCAGCAAGCGGGCGGAGCGTCCAGGAGGAAGAAATGATGGAACATTTATCCCCGGTCCAGGCCAGTCCTGGCTGCCTCAAATCCAATTCCCAACAAAGGTGGTGACATCTCCGAGGGGGCCCTGCGTCTCTCTTTCAGGCCCTGAGAGCTGATTGAAGTGAACAGTCACGACGGAATAGAATGTGTTATAACAAAACGATTTTTGTGTGTCCTGTGTCATTTACGAAACAATTATGGGGAATGAACAGTCAGCCAGAAGTGAGAGAGACGGTGGATCTTGGAGAGATTCGTGTGTGTCCTAAAGTGGAGGGACAACCGGGAAGGGCAGGCAACTCCGGGGCCAAAATCTCTTGCAAGGGCTGAGTCAGGCACCCGACCCGTAACCATAGTTACTTGGGCGCCCAAAGCGGAGACGGCCCAACCCTTACCCCAGACGCTCTGAAGCAGACTTTGCAAAAAAAATAAATAAAGCCCAGGAGCCGGTGCGAGGAATCCTCTGGGCCTCCTAGGAGGTGAAGTTGAGTTTCCAATTGCCGTGTTGATGAAACTATCAGCTCTCACAAACTTTGGGGTGGATGGACAGAAGGATTCACCTGCCCAGGCAGTGGCCAAGAAGAAGGGAGAATGTAGAACTCCTCCCGGTGATGAGAGCAGCTAATGTTTATTGAGCACTAATTACATGCTGGGTGCTGTGCTAGGAGCTTCCTGGGTATAACATCCCTGAATCGTCACCAGAAAACCCTGCGAGCCTGGGACGCTTGTCTCCCCATTTTACAGTCAGGGAAACCAAGGCTCAGAGAGGTTAAGTAACTCACCCACTGTCACACAGCTGGGAAGTTATAAAAATGGGCTTTGATCTCGGGCAGTTTAGCCTCACAGTCCATACGTCTAACCACCATCCTGTATCCCAGGGGGAGAAATGAGCCCAGAGCC